TCCCAAGGTAACAACAACACCAATGACAGCTACAACACCAACAGTAACACTTACAATACCAATAACTACACCATATTACTACGGCACCACCAATAAAAACAACAACAATAATGATAACACCAATGGCAACTACAACACCAGCAACTACACCAAATTACAACACCGCCACCGCCACCAGCAACAACAACAACAGCAACAACAACAACAACAACAACAACAACAACAACAACAACAACAACAACAACAACAACAACAACAACAACAACAACAACCACATCAGCAACGAGCGCGACCCAGCCGGCGCCCGCAGTGACGAGGCAAGTGGACAATGGCATCTGGTCCCGCGCGCCGCATCCCGGGTCGCAATTATTTATTATCGGAGGCCCCCATTAAGGCCCATTAGACTCGCCGCAACAGTGAACCATTGATTGCGATAATCATAATGAATCGGAAGCCAAAGCTGGGTCATTGTTGCGGCCGCTGGTAATGATGGCTGTGATCTGCCGTGGGATGCTGCGGGGGAGATACGGAGGCTGGGTTTCGGGTCTCGGGTCGGAAGCAGGATAAGGGGGGGGGAGGAGGGTGATTGCTTGTTTGCTTGGCTCTTGGTTTTGTTTTTGTTTTTTGTTTTGTTTTATTGTGTTTTTTTTTTTTGTCTGTTTGTAGGTGTTTGTTTTTTGTTTTTTTCGTTGTGTGTGTATGTCCGTTTCCTTTTCCTCTTTCTTGCTTGTCCTTTCCATATTTTAAATTTCTTCTCCCTCTCACTTTCCCTTCCCTCCCCCCTTCCTGCATTTCCTTCCCCTTTCTCCCTCTCTCTAAATTCTTTTAAGCAGCACCCCCCCCCACGCCACATTTCCCTCTCTGAGCACCGACCAAGTGGATACTCTTTCACTTTCACTGATGATTTTATGTCTGTCTAACCCCAGTGAGGTTTTGCTTTGCTTTCGGTCCATCTGTGACCATCTGGCGTGGTTTTAAAGGTTCTTTTTGAGCTAGGGAGGTTGGGGGGAGGTTGTGGATGGGTTGGATGGTGAGTTGTAGTTGTTGTTGTTGTTGGACTGATAGACGACGGACGGATAGAGACAAACACAACGGACGGACGGACGGATAGAGAAACACAACGGACGGACGGACGGATAGAGAAACACAACGGACGGACGGACGGATAGAGACAAACACAACGGACGGACGGACGGATAGAGAAACACAACGGACGGACGGACGGATAGAGAAACACAACGGACGGACGGACGGATAGAGAAACACAACGGACGGACGGACGGATAGAGAAACACAACGGACGGACGGACGGATAGAGACAAACACAACGGACGGACGGACGGATAGAGACAAACACAACGGACGGACGGACGGATAGAGACAAACACAACGGACGGACGGACGGATAGAGAAACACAACGGACGGACGGACGGATAGAGACAAACACAACGGACGGACGGACGGATAGAGACAAACACAACGGACGGACGGACGGATAGAGACAAACACAACGGACGGACGGACGGATAGAGACAAACACAACGGACGGACGGACGGACGGATAGAGACTGATAGACGACGGACGGATAGAGACAAACACAACGGACGGACGGACGGATAGAGACAAACACAACGGACGGACGGACGGATAGAGACAAACACAACGGACGGACGGACGGATAGAGACTGATAGACGACGGACGGATAGAGACTGATAGACGACGGACGGATAGAGAAACACAACGGACGGACGGACGGATAGAGACAAACACAACGGACGGACGGACGGATAGAGAAACACAACGGACGGACGGACGGATAGAGACTGATAGACGACGGACGGATAGAGACTGATAGACGACGGACGGATAGAGACTGATAGACGACGGACGGATAGAGACTGATAGACGACGGACGGATAGAGACTGATAGACGACGGACGGATAGAGACTGATAGACGACGGACGGATAGAGACAAACACAACGGACGGACGGACGGATAGAGACAAACACAACGGACGGACGGACGGATAGAGACAAACACAACGGACGGACGGACGGATAGAGAAACACAACGGACGGACGGACGGATAGAGACAAACACAACGGACGGACGGACGGATAGAGACTGATAGACGACGGACGGATAGAGACTGATAGACGACGGACGGATAGAGACAAACACAACGGACGGACGGACGGATAGAGACTGATAGACGACGGACGGATAGAGACTGATAGACGACGGACGGATAGAGACTGATAGACGACGGACGGATAGAGACAAACACAACGGACGGACGGACGGATAGAGACTGATAGACGACGGACGGATAGAGACTGATAGACGACGGACGGATAGAGACTGATAGACGACGGACGGATAGAGACTGATAGACGACGGACGGATAGAGAAACACAACGGACGGACGGACGGATAGAGACTGATAGACGACGGACGGATAGAGAAACACAACGGACGGACGGACGGATAGAGACTGATAGACGACGGACGGATAGAGAAACACAACGGACGGACGGACGGATAGAGAAACACAACGGACGGACGGACGGATAGAGAAACACAACGGACGGACGGACGGATAGAGACAAACACAACGGACGGACGGACGGATAGAGACAAACACAACGGACGGACGGACGGATAGAGACAAACACAACGGACGGACGGACGGATAGAGACAAACACAACGGACGGACGGACGGATAGAGACAAACACAACGGACGGACGGACGGATAGAGACAAACACAACGGACGGACGGACGGATAGAGACAAACACAACGGACGGACGGACGGACGGAGAGAGAAACACAACGGACGGACGGATAGAGACTGATAGACGACGGACGGATAGAGACAAACACAACGGACGGACGGACGGATAGAGACTGATAGACGACGGACGGATAGAGACTGATAGACGACGGACGGATAGAGACTGATAGACGACGGACGGATAGAGAAACACAACGGACGGACGGACGGATAGAGAAACACAACGGACGGACGGACGGATAGAGAAACACAACGGACGGACGGACGGATAGAGACTGATAGACGACGGACGGATAGAGACTGATAGACGACGGACGGATAGAGACTGATAGACGACGGACGGATAGAGACTGATAGACGACGGACGGATAGAGAAACACAACGGACGGACGGACGGATAGAGAAACACAACGGACGGACGGACGGATAGAGAAACACAACGGACGGACGGACGGATAGAGACAAACACAACGGACGGACGGACGGATAGAGAAACACAACGGACGGACGGACGGATAGAGACAAACACAACGGACGGACGGACGGATAGAGACTGATAGACGACGGACGGATAGACGGACGGATGAACAGAAACGGACACGACGGAGGGACGGAGTGGAAAGAGTGAGAAACAGAAAGAGAGGGAGAAGTGAGAAAAAAGGCAAAAGAGAGATACAAGAAAAGGCAAGAAAAGAAAAGAAAGATCAAAGGAATGAAACAGAAAGATGAAATAAAAGGAGGAAAAGAAGGAATGAAAGAAGCCCTGGAGGAAGAGCATCCTAGCGTAACCAGCTAAGTTTAGTGACCAGGAGGAGGCGGAGGCGGAGGAAGTGGGACGTGACGCTTCCCTTACAAATAGACATCTTGTTCTCCGGCCTATTCCCGACGCGGGCCTGGCCTAAGGGAGGGAGGGGGGGGGGAGGGAGAGGCCGCCAGGTAACGTTTAATGGGTTAAGGGGTTTGATGGCAGGGGTTTAAAAGGGGGTTAATTTTCTGTTTCTATCTTTATTTTTATTATTATTATTATTATCTTTTTTTTTTGGATGGGGTGAGAATTGAAGGTCTTGTTCTTGGTCATTTCGAAACGCGTGGTGCCCTTAGAAGGTAGGCCGAACTTTTTTTTTTGTATTGTATTCTCTCTCTCTCTTTTTTGTAGACGTCTGTAATCCAAGCTGAAAAGAGTCTGTCGAAGGATTTTAAAATGTTCAATTATAGCTGTCAAAGTAGTGTGGGAGCTTTCCGATTGGATTACGTAATGTTATCTAAATTTGGCCCTCTCTCTCTCTCTCTCTCTCTCTCTCTCTCTCTCTCTCTCTCTCTCTCTCTCTCTCTCTCTCTCTCTCTCTCTCTCTCTCTCTCTCTCTCTCTCTCTCTCTTCTCTCTCTCTCTCTCTCTCCTCTCCTCTCCTCTCCTCTCCTCTCCTCTCCTCTCCGCTCCGCTCCTCATCTCTCTCTCTCTCTCTCTCTCTCTCTCTCTCTCTCTCTCTCTCTCTCTCTCTCTCTCTCTCTCTCTCTCTCTCTCTCTCTCTCTCTCTCTCTCCCTCTCTCTCTCTCTCTCTCTCTCTCTCTCTCTCTCTCTCACTCTCTGTGCCGTCATCCGTATTTCACGCGATCGGAAGCTGTGACGTGAGCGAGAGGAAATTTTGCACGCAGGAGGCGGACACAGATCGTCTTCCTGTTGAATGCGCGTGTGTGTGTTAGCGGCATTAGTCACCCTGTGTTTATACTCCGGCGTGGGGGCGCGAGAACGAGGGAGAGGGAGAACGAGAGAGGGAGGGAGAGAGGGAGAGACATAGAGAGAGAGGGAGAGAGATAGAGAAAGAGGGAGGGAAGGAGAGAGACAGTGAGAAAGGGAGAGAGAGATTAGTGCACATTGAGCCGGGAACAAACAAAACAAGGAGAGATGAGAAAAGCAACGAAAAGAAAGTAAGAAAGAAAGCAAGAAAGAAAGAAAGAGCGAGAGCGCGACAGACAGAAGTGAATGGATAATCATCCTCCCCCCCACCTCTCCCCCGGGTAGCGGTCCGCATGTCGCAGGTCCCCGCATCTCGCAGACTCAGTGTCTCGTGCGCCGCGGTCCCGCAAACACCCCCACCCGCGCCGCTGCCGAAAACCTTCGAAAAACCGGGCGCGCTACTTCCCCTCCCCTTCCCCCCCTATTCCTTTTCCCCCCCCTCCCCCCCTGTATTTTAAAATCTCGAGTGTTTTTTTTTTTTTGAAAGAAAAGAGAACGTTTTGATAGTGCCATACATTGAATTCTTGTGGATGTACGCGAAGTTAGAAAAGAGGACAAGGAGAGAGAGAAAAAGGGTTGGTGAGCGACATAAGAGTGGATTCGCATATATGAGACTGACCAAGTGCCTGCGGAAAATCAAGCGCATCGCACAAATGAAGCTTCCGTTCCTGAGAGAGTCCGCCCGAATCAACATCATGGGTAAGCATTCGAGGATGGAGGGAGGAGGAGAGGAGAGGAGAGGAGAGGAGAGGAGAGGAGAGGAGAGGAGAGGAGAGGAGAGGAGAGGAGAGGAGAGGAGAGGAGAGGAGGAGGAGGAGGAGGAGGAGGAGGAGGAGGAGGAGGAGGAGGAGGAGGAGGAGGAGGAGGAGGAGGAGGAGGAGGAGGAGGAGGTGGAGGTGGAGGAGGAGGAGGAGGAGGAAGGGGGAGAGAACGAAGTGTGAATGAGGAGAGGAGTGTAGGGGGGAGAGAAAGAGGGAGAGAGGGGGAGGAAGGAGGAGGATGAGGGGAGAAATGAATGAGAGGAATAGAGAGAAAGGAGGAGAAGAAGAATGGGAGGCGGAGGAGAGGAGGTGGAGGTGGATGTGAATGAAGCCTCGTAACTCGCTTGCTGTTTATGTTCCAAAACACGTGTTCTTTGTTTTTGTTTATTTGTCTGTCTATCCATTCAGCTACAGACTCTCCCTTGTTGGGCGTGGGTGTGTTTATATGCTGTTATTTTGTCGTCGTGTGTCATTGAACAGTTGCAGTAATTTTGCAAATGGGATGTGATTTGCAGTGACATGACTAGTGACGTTTTTCCGAGAGCCTTGTTGAATCGCTTGGGCGTGCCGTGCCAGTGCGCCAGGGTGCCAAGGGACGACAGTGCCACGCGGGTCCACCATGGTTTTAGGAAGGGGGTGAGGCTCTTCAGGTCACAGCGGGTCAAGCGAGGTCAGGTGGGGGCGGCCTCTCCCGGTGACCTCTCCAGAAGGGTTCAAAGCCCGGCCTGAGGAGAGTGCCTCTGGGCGTGTTTGTGTGTCTTTCACGGGGTCTAATTATGGCCTGCAAAGCGAAAGGCGGAGACGAAATCCCTGTGTTTATGTGGGAGGGAGGGAGGGAGGGGGGAGGAGGAGAATGACAACGACAACGCGAAGCAGGAGGAGGAGGAGGAGGAATGCTGATAATGATGATAATAACAAAATAACAGTATTGATAATTATGAAGATTATGATTATAAAAATAATGATAATTAATAATGATGATGATAGTAATGATAATGGGAGTGGAAATGATATTAATAATTATCATATCAACATAGATGATGATAGTAACACCAGTCTTATTAATACTAATGATGATGATAATGCTAATGAAAAGCACAAGGAAGAGTGTGCGCGAGGGAGTCCTGCTCACCGAGGTTTCTACGTAGCCACCGGGGTTCCGGCTCGGCGCTGTCCGTCGGGCTTTCTAAAGAGTGGGCGTCCGGGCTGAGCCTGTTGCGGCCGCGTCACCGAGCAGCGCCGTCCGTATCGCGCCCGAAGGAGAGGGGGAAAGGGGGGGGGAGGGGGGAGGGGGACGGAGGGGGCGGAGGCGGAGGCGGAGGCAAAGGGTGTCTTCGGGATTTCATCTCATTATTATTATTATTATTTTTTAAATGTTTCCTTTTTTGTATTCTGACGTAGAATTGTTATTATTTTTACCTGTTCTTATTTTTTCTGTTTGTTAATATTGTATATGTTATAGTTGTTATTGTCACTTGATATAGCGAATTAGAGACAAGCAAAGAGACAGAGACAGAGAGAGAGCGAGAGAGAGAGAGAGAGAGAGAGAGAGAGAGCGAGAGTGAGAGCGAGGGCGAGAGAGCGAGAGTGAGAGGCAGGTAAGGGAGCGCGGCGAGCATCGTTGTAAGTGACCCGTAAAGCCGAGAAGCCGGGTAACACGAGCCGAGCGGACGGCCTGCGACGGGCAGCGCCGGCTTAGGGAGGTCGTGGCTCGTGGTCGCAGGCCTCGCGCTCGGGAAAGTGGAGAGGCCAAGGTGGATGAGTCGTGTGGATTGGGAAGGTGGAGAAGATGTACACAGGCATGATTATCCACTCACCGTATACACACACACACGTGTATATATATGTGTGTGTGTGTGTCACGCATCAGAAGTGGATGAATGCGAATGGATTTAATGGGTCTGGATGGCGAGGGAAGTGGGTACTTGGGGGTAGGAGGACTTGTTTACAAATACGTTTTCTCAGTTTTTTTTCTTCTCTGTTGTTGTGGTTGTGGTCAGGAAGGGCTCCCGGTTCTTACGGGGAGGAATGGAGTCGCTTTTGTTTTCCTCGCGGGACCAGCTCGGAGGAAAATATAAACTCGAAGGACAGGCGTTGGGTTTGGTTCTCATGTGGTTCTTCATTTTCTTGTTCTTCCCTTTCTCCCCCCCCTTTTTATCTACTCTTCTCTCTTTCCCCTTTCTTTTCCTCTCTTCCTTCTCTCTTCTTTCTTCTGCTCACTTCCTCTTTTTTTCCTCTCAGATTCATTTCTCATCCTCTCATTTCTTCTCTTTTCTCCCCCTCCGCCCTTCCTTAATCTCTTCTCCTCTCCTCCTCTTACCTGCCTCCCTCTTTTCTCCTCTCCCCTCTCCGCTCTCCACTCGAAAGGGTGTCCCAGAAAACCTTTTTAATTGAGATGTCTAATTTATAATATATTTTTTTTCATTTTCTGTCCCTTCCTCCCTCCCTTTCCTCTCTCCCCTCTCTCACTCCCTCCCTCCCTCTTTTTTCCGTCTCTCTCTCTCTCTCTCTCTCTCTCTCTCTCTCTCTCTCTCTCTCTCTCTCCCTCTCTCTCTCTCTCTCTCTCTCTCTCTCTCTCTCTCTCTCTCCCTCTCTCTCAGCACCTCGATATACAAAATACAGAATCTTTTAACATGAAAATAACTGAAGATAATAATAATAATGATAATGATAATGATAATGATGATGATGATAATAATAATGATAATAATAATAATAATAATAATAATAATAATGATGATAATAATGATAATAATAATAATAATAATAATAATAATAATGATAATGATAATAATAATAATAATAATAATAATAATAATAATAATAATAATAATAATAGATGTAACTGTAGATAGCAGGCCCCATACCCTATAAGGAAGTAAGAGGAAAGGGTGTTACGAATAAAAATAAGGAAGAAGCAAGTGTGAAGTGCGCGGAATGTGGTTTTCCCTTCGGTCTGGTCGCCATATGCCCCCTATGGCCTTCCGCCTCGCTCTCTGTTCCCTTTCCTCCCACCTTCACTCACTCAATCCCCTCCCCCCCCCGTTCCCCATACCCAGTACCCCTTACACTTATTTCTTCCTCTCCCTTTCCCTCTTTTCTGCTCCCCTCCCATCTTCCTGTATTTCTGCCCTCCATTGCCTCTCCCTCTCTCCCCTTCCTCCCCTTTCCTCCCTTCCCTTTCTCCTCCTTCCCCTATTCGTTCCCCTCTCCTCTATCCTCCCTCCCTCCGTCTCCTCCCTCCCCTCCCTACTCCTTCCCCTCCCTCCTCCTCCCCCCTCGGCCCCTCTGTGTACACAATCTGGTTTTAATTCAGTTAATTATAGAAGTTCATTAACAGCTTGAACATTTGTGGTCTTCAGTGCCATTAAGGAAATTCAATGGGTATTTTATTCAAGCCGCATGTTATTATCGGTATGTGTTGACGGTTATTCTTATTATTATTTTAATTATTATTATGGTTATTATTGTTGTTGTTTTCGTTGTTATTGTTATTATTTTTTTTATGACCATGATCATTTTTACATGTTAATAAAGAGAGAGGGGGTGGAATGAGAGGAGAGAGGGGGGTGGGAAGGGAGGAGAGAGGGAGAGGTGTAAGCAAGTGTTTTATGTCTTCCTTCCTCCCCACAAGTTGCGAGGCGAGAGTGGCCGAGAGAAAGGCTCTCCGCAACTCTTGAAATGGAGTAATTTATACCACGGGCTGAGTCTACTTCGCCCCGCTCTCTTCCTTTCCCCTTCCCCCTTTTCTCCTCCTCTCTCTCTCTCTCTCTTCTTCATTTTTTCTCCTTTCCTCTCTTTCTCGATCTCTCCGTTCTTCATTTTCTCCTTTCCTCTCTCTCTCTCTCTCTCTCTCTCTCTCTCTCTCTCTCTCTCTCTCTCTCTCTCTCTCTCTCTCTCTCTCTCTCTCTCTCTCTCTCTCTCTCTCTCTCCCCGTTCTGCATTTTTCTCCTTCCCTTCTCTCATTTGTTTATCTCTTCTTCGCCATTGATTGTAACGACTGAAGGACAAGGATAGGTGACAAGCAGGTTCATGCTGGTGTGGATATACGTTAGTGTCCCGAAAGAGGAGGAGAGGGAGAAGGAAAAAGAGGAGAAGGAGAAGGATGGTGATGGTAGGAAGGGGAACGAGTAGATGGAAACATATAGGAAGGGGAAGGAGGAGGAGGAGGAGGAGGAGAAAGGCGAGGACGAGGCTGAGGGACGGTGACGGCGAGGTGTTGAGCGCTGA